GGATGGAAAATGATTCAGTGCGGCACCGGAGGAGCACGAAAGCAGTCGAGTCAGTAATACGAGCAGGGAAGAGCAGCGGAGTCTCTTGAACTTGCGGCGCAGAGTTTTTGGCCAGTTAGAGTGCTTGCGGGAAAGTTCAAAGGGATTGAGGGGGATTTCACTTGCATCCAGAGTGTTCTTGAGGCACGAGCAGGATAGGAGAAGCCACAAGACGGGGGCTCAGACTTGGGGGAATTGCAGAAGAAGAAGATGTGGGGGGAAGAAAGGAGCGGTGATGGGTCGCGTCGACTTCGTCCTCGCTTTTAAAAAATGCAGCTGGCAGCCATCAACCATCATTCATTCATGCGGTCCCGGTGATACACTGTGATGCATGTGAAACAGAACCTCTAGAAGGAGCCACAGAGAGGTCCGCCGCTACGGTCGCGCCACGCATCTATGTAGCTCTACCGGGAAGTGCCGGCTCTACTCAGTGCTACCTCGTAACCGGCTCTCTATGTCGCGAACATGGTCTCTACATGCTCAAAAGGTGTTTCCAGATGCAGTTCTTCCTCATCGTCCGCGTTGCCCCCAGAGTCTGAAGAGGAGCTCGACGTCTCCCAGCCGCTGTCAGAGCTGACATCGGCTTCAAGTTCGTCGTCCGAATCAGGGTATCCAGCCGGGTGTAATTCCGGCATACCGTCGTCGCTGGAGGCGCCGGCATCGTCGGAGCCAGATGACGCCGATGAGCTGGAGGAAACTCCGCGCCAGTCTGAGCCAAAAAGGTCCGACCAGTCGTCGCTGCTTTCCGAGTTGGTGCCGCTCGACAGCGATGACATGTCTGAGCCTACTGATGAAATATCCCCCTCCGAGTCAGAATTCATATCGATGGATAGGGTGTCGAAGATGTCGACCGGCGGGGGCGCGGACACCAAAGCGGCGATTGCGTCGGGCGTGACACCAGCATGGGTGAGGGCGCACTTCATTTTGTTCTTCCGGTGCAAGGCGGTCTTGACACGTGTTGTGTGGTAATGGATAAACATGTTGAGCACGTCGCGCGCCCGACGCTGGCGCGAGGAGAGCCGGGGCATACTGTCGTGGTATAAAATGAGTGGTTATGGCCACGTCACGCGTGGCATAATATTCAAGTTTATTATTATTTAAATCCTCTCAGAATCGAGGTCAGAAACGGGGAGGTCAAAGTTGATGTCGATTCTTGATCGATTCTCGCAGGAGAATCGGTCAAGAATCGACATCAGAATCGACCGAGAATCGCCCGTGGATTCTCGGTTTGACTTCCCCTATTATAATGCATTGCAAGACGAGGGGGTTTGTGGTCACTAATTTATTAGCTCAGTTAGGATTACTGAATGACCCAGGGACTTTTGTGAGTTACTATACTATTCTGAATGTTGTTACTGTTTTAATGGGTAGAAAATATTTAAAGAAGTACTACTTGACCGGATCAAACTCAGGACCTCGCGGAACATATATTAATTAAAGGAAATTAAAACTACTACTACGCCATCTAGCTGTTTTATAGGAGGGTGGCCAGGGTTGCTTTATGAGGTCCAGATGCCCCCGTCACCTTAATTGGGCGGGCTGTTCCTTCCTCGCCGTTGAGTCTCAAAGGCCGCATTAAGGGGAGGATGTTTGTCATCAATACACCTCTGCAATGTTTCAAGCTAGGATTCCCGTTTTGTTCGAGAAAAGAATCCATGAATTGATTAGCAGAACCCAGTGCCGCCGGGTCAATTCACCCTCCACATGAGTTCTCCGGCATGCTGATGCAAAGATCTCTGCTCTGCGGAGAGTTTCTCTTCATAAACCAAACTATTTTATGCTCAACTCACGAATATATTCAAACTTGTCGAACAAACCCTGTTTGAGCTGATGTTCAAAAATGTCGGTGATGAGATGAACAGACTGCGCACGAGCATCGTGGAATTGGAGAACTGTGGGCCTTTCAGTATGTACCGAGTATTTAGATGTTGTTGAGCCCAGGAGTTTGACTATAGCCACGCTGAAAGTTGGAACCCGTATTTGTTGGTGCTGTGCTGCAGGGAAACACGCTTTCGACGACTAGCACCCATTTTCTCATTTTTTTTTCGTATACCTCAATTGAAAATCCAATAGTCATCGGGGGCGTGGCGATGACTTGAAGGCTGATGACCCAATGTGTGCCGTCCCGCAGTGTCAGGGCCTTGCAGTTGCACCAGTGGATACAGGATTTCAAATTGAAATAGACACAATACGTATCTCAGCCAAATGCAACTGGATGGATTTGATTTCTAGAGCACGACAAAGTCGCAATTTTGACATCGACACACCGCCCGAACTTGAGTTGGAGGAGAATTTATGATGTATATTGGGCTGCATTGAGGTGAACAGGGGAAACACACGACAAGAATTTGGCACACCACATTCATTCGCGACACTGCGCTGAAGCCAGCCGGCTGTCGGCGGGTATTTGCTCATCGCTGCAGCGCGTGTCCGATGAAGGAAGTGAGTTATTATAAGTGCGTGATCAAAATGGCAAAAGCACACTGAGACATGCGAGGCTGCGGATACGAACAATGAGCATCTGGCCTACCCCGGATCGAGGCTGCCGCGCGGGTGTATCTCATTCGGACATGTACCCACCCAATTCAGACGCAAAAACGGACGAGCCGCACCATCTTTTTGCGCTTAGTGAGTGCGAAAATCATGACAATGTGGGTGAGAGGGAAGGAAGTGTAACGTAAGGACTTGCCTCCAGGAACCTTAGCTGGTAAAGGGGGTTTACCCAGTTATCCTCGTCCGCAAGTCCGGGCGTTGGCGACGCAGCTGCGGGGGAAGCACAGGTGAGAGATTTCTGGTCGCAGAGAAGTAGCCCAGGCACTTGAGTCGCGGAGTCGATACGAATTCGACGGGAGAGCTGGCGCAGAAAGAGCAGGAAGCTAATGGGCCAGGTGAAAAGGTTGGGTGTGATCCAGGGCTTTGTGGAACATTTACTTCGTAGCAGACGTACCGATGTACGGTCAGGCATGCGGACTGCATCGTGGATGGCGTAGTGTTTCACTCGGGGAACCTGGTTCGCAGACAAGTCAGCAAGAACATTCAAAAGACGCTTGTAAGCCGCTTACAAGCGTCTTATAACGTGATGCTCTTGTAAGATCAAAATGAAATTTCCGACATTCCAAGTTCTAGTCTCCGCAGATCCAATAGGCAATCTCTGCATAATTATTCGGTGCGCAGAAGTATACCGTCTGCAGTCACTTGCCCTCTGAGTACGTCCTCAGAGCGAATTAATTTCCCCAATATGCTCCCAGCTCTTCAAGGTAAGAGGAGGGTCAGTAAGTCCTCGTGGAGTAATGAAACTCACACCCTTTCTGCATCAATAAAAGCTTCCATTAATATTGGCCGCGTCGGGTTCGACCCCACCCGGAGACATGGTCCATAGCCATTGCTTTTTCTTGCGTTTCTTGCCTAGATTCCGGAATCCACGTGTCTGTGCAGCGAAATCATGCGCGAGGCGGCGGCCACACCAGCGAAATAGTACGCTGGAGTCGATTTGTCCAGTTCGCGCGTGCGGTGGATCTTTGTCTACCTATCTGACAATGCAGCAGAGATACGATGTCTTCGAGGAGCACGCAACTCACTCAAATTCGGTGAGTGAGAGGGATCATTCGTTGTTGTTGAGGGTCGGTGGTCCCAATCTACCCGAGGACGTGTGGGTCCATTGTATTTTCTAAATCTTTCTATTCGCCGAATTTAATTCGCTCAAACTTTTGCAGGATACGGAGAGCCCGAGAAAGTCTTCATGGAGTACGCAACTCACTTTCTTTCTGTAGCCATTAATTAAAAAAATTGCGTCCGGGAGAGTCTGTGGTTCGAATCCACCCAAAGGCATACAAGATCATGGCGGTATATTTTTCTGTTCTTTTCTGTTTCCCCCTGGGTGTCTGTGCCTACTCAGGGAATAATTAGCCGTCGGTATGATTCGAAATAGCATAAATTACAGGGACATGACATACTTAGGAAGCTAAGGCCTTGCCCGGTATTTTTTTTTTCTGGGTTGCGTGTTCCACACTTCGGCCACCCACCTATTCAGGCAAATCACGGGGGAGGAAGTCTTTGTGTAGTGGTGAACTCACTCCGTCCGTGTTTTTAGACAGGCTAGTATCAGCTGCAGAGCACAGTGGAAAACCGGGGGTTCGAATCCGCCCGGGGACTTGTGGATAGTACCCATCTTTTGCCTGCGAGTGTTCACTAGGCCCATCCATGGAACCTGCGTGCATTGAGGAGACTCGCGCTCACCTTCTGTACGATGCTTTGTCTTCTTTTACAATGTGGCTCTCCGGAAGGAATTGAACATGCATCCACCCGACAAGAATAAGCGGTGTGCCATTTTATGCGTACGTGGGCTCAGCCATTTTTTCCTGCGGGTTATATATCGCAAGTCAAAATGTCCGAAGCTTTGTCCTTGTTCGATCTTCCCCGTCGCACAACCGTCGCATGCTGTACTTCCGGGCTCACTGAACGAGTGAATTAAGAGAGCTAGAAAGTCTTCGTAGAGTATGCAACTCGCTGCCGTGAAGTAGCATCTCCTGCGATTGTAGTGTGGCATAGTCGGTGGTTCGAATCCACCCGAAGACATTGTGAGGTTCAGTTCAATGGGTTCCGTCCCCATTTTTATTTTCCCCGCTTGCGCAGTGCTGAGTGGATATCGTCATTTAGGGTATGTTTCTTGGTTCCAGGAACCGCCCCGCATCGAATTCCAAAGCAGGCCAAGTCCAAAAACGCGAGTCAGCAACATTACGTGGGCCCGCCGCGTGACAGGTCGCTGTTTTTTCACACACCACGATGCACAATTGCGGCAACATTCTGCGTCTCTCACAGCGGAAATGCGGAGATTTCAGGGCAGTCGGAAATGTTTCTGAAATGTATAATTTAGGTATCAACTTCAGTGGGCCTGAAAACGTACCCGAAACTTCAAGTTTCTGCGCGATTTAAGTTGAAGCCGAAATTACTCGATTTGGGTAGGTTTTCGGCATGCCTGAATTTTTTTATTTTGAACACCATTTAGGTCCAGCTGAAGCTGCTTCTGAACCTATAGGTTTCAGTAGCAGTTTCAGCATGCCCTAAACTTATTGTTTCGGGCAGCTCCAGAACCGCTGTTGAAACAATAAGTTTCGGCTTATTGTTTCGGGCGCACTGAAGCCAAATCTAGGCCGGTCTAGATCGCTCTAGGCCTAGTTTGGGTGGTGCCGAATCGGGTGCCGAAACTTATTGTTCTTGGTGGCAGTTCCAGAGCTGCCGAAACAATAAGTTTAGGGCATGCTGAAACTGCTACTGAAACCTATAGTTTCAGAAGCAGCTTCAGCTGGACCTAAATGGTGTTTGAAATGAAAAAATTCAGGCATGCCGAAAACATACCCAAATCGAGTAATTTCGGCTTCAACTTAGATCGCGCGGAAACTTGAAGTTTTGAGTACGTTTTCAGGCCCGCTGAAGTTGATACCTAAATTATACATTTCAGAAACATTTCCGGCTGCCTTGAAATCCCGCATTTCCGCTGTGTCTCAAGTGCCTAATCAAGCTTACATAATCACTTACCCGTGATCCACTATCTCCTATCTCTGCATCTCATATCGCCGCTCACAGTGCACATTTTCCAACGACTTCTGGCTCACAGGGAACTGGTAGATACCTTACAGTTCCACCAGGTTCATTGATTCTGGAGTTTAGTAAGCGCATACTATTCTGATCCATCCATCTCATCGCTGATGCAGAACAGTGTATTTCAGAGGACAGGAACTGTCAAACTTGCGGGACGAGTCCCCGACTCCGGCTCCTGCGCCATTTTCGTATGTGGCCAGTGGCGAAAGCACCGCTGTCGGGGTTGGAACGACCCGTGTTCAAGTTCTCTCGCATGATATTAACTTTTTTAGCATCGTTCCTAATCCTAGGACTCCGACTACGTTCCTCAATATCCGTAGTCGGATCTTTCGGTCCGAGGGTCGAAGAACGAGACCAAACTTCTGCTGTACTTCCAGTGAGTAGATTTGAACAGATTTGGTCATATCCCAGCATACGGGATTCTCACTGGGATTTCAAACCAAGCTGAATTTCGATAGACAGGAGTATATCCGGCCATTTATGAAATCACATGAATCGAGAGTCTTTCTGATCCATCCATCTCGTCGCTGATGCAGAACAGTGTATTTCCAGAGAACAGGAACCGTCAAACTTGCGGGACGAGTCCCTGACTCCGGCTCCTGCACCGTTGTCGTATGTGGCCAGTGGCGAAAGCACCGCTGTCGGGGTTGGAACGACCCGTGTTCAAGTTCTCTCGCATGATATTAACTTTTTTAGCATTGTTCCTGACCCTAGGACTCCGACTACGTTCCTCAATACCCATGATCGGATCTTTCGGTCCGAGGGACTAAACTTCTGCTGTACTTCCAGTGAGCGGATTTGAACAGATTTGGTTATATCCCAGCATACGGGATTCTCACTGGGTTTCAAACCAAGCTGAATTTCGACAGACAGGCGAATATCCGGCCATTTATCAAATCGCATGAATTGACAGTCTTTCTCATCCATCCATCTCGTCGCTGATGCACAACCAGTGTATTTTCAGAGGAGAGGAACCGTCAAACTTGCGGGACGAGTCCCCGACTCCGGCTCCTGCGGCGTTGTCATATGTAGCCAGTGGCGAAAGCACCGCTGTCGGAGTTGGAACGACCCGTGTTCAAGTTCTCCCGCAGGACATTATCCAGTCGCGACTTTGCTCGGCGCACCTAGGCCTGCCGTTTGAATGTAAAACCTCTTTCTCTCCGTCTGCCGAAAGAGTACGCGCTAGAGCCGCTCTTCGCAAGAACTCCGCTCAAGGAAGAGGACCACCTGATGCGGAATGTATGACTCACTGGTAAATGATTCGATATTTCTATACGTCGGAATCCCACAGCAGGCAAAGATCGATGTACGTCAAATCCGCGTGCGACCAATGCACTTGCTCCGCATGTGGTGATGTGGTTAACAAAAAGCCTGCAAGGGCTCTTGGGAAGACAAAGGAATAACAAAGGAGGGACAAAGGGCAGGCAGGATTTTCACCACCCGGGAGATCCTGCTTTCCCTTTGTCCCCCTTTGTTGGTACTTTGTCTTCCTGAGACCCTTTGCAGGCTTTTTGTCGACCATATGACCGCATGCGAACTAAGTGCATTGGTCGCACGCGGATTTGACGTGCGTCGATCTTTACCCCCGGTGTCCGTACTATATCCTACGCGGTGTTCAAGTTCTCCCGCATACCATTATCCAATCGCGACTTTGCTTGGGTGGATTTTTCTTAGCCAGATTTAACTGAGTGCCTCCTCTGTATGGCTGATTCACCTACCGCACACGGTCTCTGGTTGGTAGCCGACACTTTGGTCAGATGCTTTTCCACAACACGGCTCTAAGAAGAGGACTACCTGTGAAATTGATGTGGAATATATGTACATCTTTCAGCAATTACACGCACACTTATTCACACCTAGGCCTGCTGTTTGAATGTAAAACCTCTTTCTTTCTGTCTGCCGAAAGAGTTCGCGCTAGAGCCGCTCTTCGCAAGAACTTTGTTCAAGGAAGAGGACGCGGAATGTATGACTCACGGGTGAATGATTCGATATTTCTATACGTCGGCATCCGTACTATATCCTACGCGGTGTTAAAGTTCTCTCGCATGCGATTATCCAATCACGACTTGCTTGGCTTGAGATTTCTCAGCCAGATTTAACTGAGTGTCTCTGCATTGCTGATTCACCTACCGCACACGGTCTCTGGTTCGTGGCCGACACTTTGGTCAGATGCTTGTCCACAACACGGCGCTAAGAAGAGGAGTACCTGTGAAATTGATGTGGAATGTACATACATCTGTCAGCAATTAAACAAACGGTTATTCGTACCGTGGTTCACGTGTGAATGTATATATTCCCTAGGCCTGCCGTTTGAATTTATACCTCTTTCTGTCTGTCTGCCGAAAGAGTACGCGCTGGGGCCGCTCTTCGCAAGAACGTTGGTCAAGGAAGAGGACCACCTATGAAAATGATGCGGAATTTATGGCTCACGGGTGAATGCATCTGATTCGATATATCCATACGCTTCTATACGTACCTATATTTTACGCGGTGGTCTGGACTCTAGAGTATTTCACGACAAACATTCGATAGAAAACGTATAAATACCATATACCGTAAGTTTACCCCCGTATCGTACCGTAAGAGGGTCCCCAGATTTACGGTTACGGTCACGCCCGGTTTGGCACCGGAAGCAGCCATAATTATACGACCGTGACCGTATAAGGTACGGTTGGGACCCCTAAGAAAACGTATAAATACCTGTCATTCTGGCGGTTTTTCACTCAGCTCCTCTTCCCACTTTCGATCAGGTTAGCATCCGGGCCCTTCTCTTTAACCCTCCTCTTCATCCTCCTGTCGTATAATCTTCAACTAACTCCACTTTTTTCTCTTTTAGAAGCTGCACAATCCCAACACCCCCACAAATCATAATGCAATTCAACGTCGTCTTCATCGCCACCGCTCTCCTTGTTTCCGCCTCTCCGGCGATGTCGGCCACACTCGTCTTCTTCAACGGTGCGAACTGCGGTGGCTCCGTCATCGCCACCAGCACCGGATCCACGCCTGGCGAATGTATCCTCCTCTCAGGAGGCGGTTCGGCGAAGTCAATCAGTTATTCTGGTGTCCCCAATCAAATCGATTTCTTCGAGTCTGGCGGTGCCCACGATGCTTGTTCCAATGGCGCGACCTTGGTGCTTGGTGGTGGCTCTGGATGTGGAACTGCGCCTGCCGGGTAAGCTCTCTGAGTGGACATTGATTGATGAAGTGGTGAACTAATGATGTCGGTTGTAGATTTAACTTTGAGAGCGTCTCGTTCTCTTAAATCTCCAGTGCTAGTAGCCAGAGAGATAGCTGTCGCTTCCATAAGTCTTGATATGTGAAGCGATGTGTATTAAATTGTACTCACTCAAGGGATTTATCAAAGCCAAATAAAATTGTTTTTCGAGATATGACAGCGCTACTGCAGTCTAAGATTCGGCTTTTCCATTTCTGGAACTTCGCCACCATGGATGACATATCTTGGAGTTTCCCAGCCTTCAAAGGATGGTTTCTTGTTGCATTACAAATCTTCGTGGTGGTTTGAATTTCCCGGCACATTCTGCACTTGTGGTTGAAGCGGTGGTTGAAAAAGTTTGCCGAGATCAGATGATTTGAACCGAGAATCCCGCGCTCAAATAACACTTTGCACACTGACTTGGCCAGCAAATATCCCGGTATTTCTTCGAAGTTACGCAAGTAATCGTGTCGACCTGACATGTAAAGAATTTGAGCCACAGGACATGCAGTGGGAGCTCAAACTATGTTGGGTGGACTCATAAACCCGTCCCGTAGAATCACCTGAGAATCCCTCATCCTGACGCGTTACGGGGAAGGGTGTGTGTGTATCTGCGAAACGAATTTCCCTTCCACACTGTAAGGATTCGCACACTACATTGAGTCAACGTTGAGTTGAAGTTGAACGCATCTGCCCGTCGACCTTCGCGAGCCCGTCCATGCGACCGTCCGCCCTGCCCAGAGCGTCGGCCACGCGTCGTTGA